GGCTGAATTTTAACATATCAAAATTGATCTATTAAAATTGTGCTTTGTCTACTTACGTCTTTTCCTCAGGTAAAACATTTTCTTCAGCACACATTTGGTTTCCCATATGCTGAGAACTATTATGCTGGTGACTGGATGTTGGGTCCCGACTTGTTTTGTTGGCAGCCAATTTGTAGTCTTGGTTACAGCATCAACGCTTATGCATATCATGTCAAGCCTAAGACATATGATGATGTGCAGCTTGTAGTTGATACTCTCAAGAAACACAAGACCCCAATTGATCGTTACAGGTACAGTCAGTGTTCTTACCTAGTGTCTGCAGGAGGGGGAGGGGTGGGTCAAGTTAACAGTAAATTCAAATGTGTAGTTCCAGAAAATATCCATACCCCCCCAATGGAAGGTATTTGAAATTCCAGGGGGTGTTGGGGATCAAAGGTCCAGGAATTTCCGGAGGGGGGGAGGGGGGTTGTCTCAAATGAATTTTTTTCCAGACCATTCCCAATTTTCATACAGTTGTATGTAAAGTGTTGTTGTTTGCATTTTGCTTCTCGAGTCATGAAGGACAGTGTCATATAATTGAGTTACGCCACTCAAGAGTGCAGGCATTATTAATTAAATTTTGGAACAGGGTGCTCAATAAACTAGGTTTTTGATGCCACCATCTTGGATTGCATTTGGATGCTTGACCATTAGAGGTCTGGGGCAGAGGGTGGGGGAGCACACCTACTCCCTTGGCAAATTTTCCCTGACTCAAACCCTCCATAGTTACCAAAGCTAAGATGGCGGCCTTATACAAAAATGTGCATTTGTGTGCCCAAAACATACTTGCATTGGAGGTTAATTATTGAGAATCAAGAGTAAATTTTCTAACCATGGATTAATGGACATCTTAGATAGTCAGTCAGNTCGTTGTTTGCATTTTGCTTCTCGAGTTGCGAAGGACAGTGTCATATAATTGAGTTAAGCCACTCAAGATTGCAGGCATTATTAATTAAATTTTGGAACACAGTGCTCAATAAACTAGGTGTTTGATGCCACCATCTTGGATTGTATTTGGATGCTTGACCATTAGAGGTCTGGGGCAGAAGGGTGGGGGGCACACCTACTCCCTCAGCAAATTTTCCCTGACTCAAACCCTCCATAGTTACCAAATTTAAGATGGTGGCCTTATACAAAAATGTGCATTTGTGTGCCCATAACATACTTGCACTGGAGGTTAATTATTGAGAATCAAGAGTAAATTTTCTAACCATGGATTAATGGACACCTTAGATAGTCAGTCAGCCAGTCATCCTCCTAGCGCTGGCTGTCACAAAGGGCAGCAAGGAGACCTTTTATTCTAACTGGTCTTTTGCAGCCTTCTTGATTGTGCTCCAACATAGATGATGTTGATGTAGCTCTTCCTCTACTGTCCTGTGACATGTTGGTTTTGGTCTGCACCTTTTCTGCTTTCCTTCCGGTGTCCATTGTACAGCACTCTTAATGACAGAAGTTCCTTCCTTCCGTAATACGTGCCTACTCCACCTCCAGTGTTGCTGCACACCTTAGACACCATATACCTGAACAAATTCTTACAACTTGTTATTAACAAATGTTTGTTTGACAGGCAAAATGTTCAACTTGGTGTGAAATCAGGGATGGTACGCACAGTAGTAGACTGTCAAGCTGGGGTGGATGCCCTTAAAGAGAAATACAGACAGCTTTCACTGGCCAATAAAGCAGAAGGAGTTCTTAAAGAGTGGTTTGCTAAAAGTTATTTGAATGCAAAATACCTAGTTAATTTGTCCAAAGGAGTGGACGACAAATGGGCCAAAGACCACA